GGGGAGGGGAGTACCTGAACACACACTCAACATGATCACAGCATATCACTTTGCACGTGTTGGATCTCTTCAGAGGTGCATTACAACCTCTCCCACCAAAAAGCAATTCTTGTATTTAAACTATATATTATGTAAAGTAACTATTTAAAAAGTTAGGAAAAAAAGCATTGCTAGCCATCTTGTGTAGGCTTTGTAACACTGGTCACGTTACAGCCAAAACAGTTTTCAAAATGAACCAACCATGGCAGAAATGGCAGTTACTTCCCTATAACTGGAGGTTCATCCAGATGTTTGGTCTCTATTTGTATTCTGTATAGTGCAGCTATGGAGCACATATACTGAAGAACCTACAGTTCAAGTGCTAGTTCCTGTATATATTCCATACACAGATGCAATGTTGTTAGAAGGGGGATGAATGTGTTGTCAGCTGCCAGCAGATATGCATTCTGGCCTCCCATGGAATCCATGTGCCCGTCCATATGGATTACTCATCTTGTGAAGGATGCAACCTCTGCTCTTCTCCCTCTGAAGTGTACAGGAGCCACCCACAGCTCTTGTACATTTCAAAGGGAGACACAGCGGGAACCCGTGCCAGCAGGGAGCAAAGCAGTCCCCACTGGCACGGGTTCCCCTCTTTGCCTCTTCCTTTGAAATTGTACGAGGAGTCACAGGTGGCTCTTGTCCATTCCAAAGGGAGAGGAGCAGCAGCGGGACTGGCATGAGCAGGACTGTTTAAATCCCCGCTCATACCATTTCCCCTCTGCCCCCTCCCCCCATGGAGACAGTGCTGGGGAGTAACTGGTTTTTAAACTGGTTGCCCAGCACCAGCTCTTGCTCTCCCCCACCTTGTTGTGTCTCTCTCTCTGATAGGGGAAGCAAGGGGAGGAGGAAGCGACTAGTCAAGTTCTTGACTACCTGGTAAGCAAATGCTTATCGGGTAGTCCACTACATCTATACCATGAATCTAATAAGTGTTCTGGGAGAGCAGTAAGTAGCCACATGAAAGCAAACCTTTTGCAGCCTGTGTGAGAAAACCAATGTGTTCTCTTCCAAGAGCAAATACTAATGTTTTGATTTGCAACTAAAAGTATCTCATTGATATAGGATTTAGAAGTGGTCTTCAGATTCATTTTCTCATGGATCTTTGAGGAGTAACAAGCCCTTCCATTGGTATTGGGGTGGCATTTCCTCTATGGGCCCCTCTTTGGGTCCTTCACCTTCCTATAAAGGATGTCCTCATGCAAGTGGCCCTCCCTCCCCCCCTCAGGAAGGGAGTGGTGAGATCTCAATTATGTAACCCATTCTGTGCAATGTAAAGCAGCCAAATGTTTGTGAGCAATGTGACATGGCATCAATATGTATACAGTCCATAAGCTTGGACAAAAAAATAAATCCTTTGATGGCAGATGGGAGTGGGCAGTGGCTGTAGAGATGGAGGAAACTGCATAAATGGGTCTTTGAATCTTTGGTTGTTTGTGGGGCAATTTAAGCACTTTGGCAATAAAATGCCTGGAACCATGGGGTGTGGTAGGAAGGAGGGAAGATGTCTGGGGCTGTCTTTTGCTTATGGTGCTCCCTTTAAAGGTGGGGCCCAGAGAGCATAGGGCAGAGGGTGAAGGAGGCGATAGACTGACTGGTTCACTCTAATGGATTAATCTTTGGTATTCTGGACCTTCTGGGGAACCCCAAAGAGTGAAGCCATGATTCACACCCAGTGACTGCATCTAAAACCATCACCAAAACTGTAAAATCAGTTATATCCACTGCTGCTTCAAATTCTTAAACACCAACCAATGCAGACTTGCACCAAGCCCTACCTTCCTGAAAAGTTTCCAAAAAAAAAAAAAAAAAAAAAAAAAAAACCCCACAGCTAAACACCTACTACTTAGCAACTAAATTGAAGAGACTAGCTGATAGCGCCACCTGACTCTTGGGGTGGAGGGCATTAGCAAGGCTTGCCAAACCATGGTGAGCCCTGCTCGCCAGCTGCGCTGTCCAGCGATCTGCGCATGCGCAGATCGCCCGAACCCGGCTCTTCCAGGTTGCAAAGCCCTGGGTATTAGTCTTGGTGCTATATCATGGGCCTCTACACATGTTTGCACTACTAAGTAATTGAACACTGGGTGGGAAAAGAACTCCATCCCTTACAGCTGCTATGGGGCTCTTTCTCTCCCCTTCCCCCCCAGTCTTTTAAAGATAGGGGTACAAGAGGCAGGGATATGCCAGAGACCCAAGGATTCTAAAATGGCTTAACTGACTGGGAGGAACTCTACTAGGGCCACAGGGTTATAGAATGTCCAATAGGGTATGCCATGCGCCAAGAATTGGCCAAACTCCACATACGACCTATTAACAGCTCTTGACATGAGTGTGGGGTCATCAGGCAGGGTAGGAAATGATAAATCAACTGTATCAGGTGAGGACATCCATCAGCACTGGTGGATCCAGTGTGACTTCGGAACTGACAAGAATCAACTGCTATTGGCTGGGAGAGGAAGATAGGAGAGATTCTTGTAAGAAATGACCTTGATCTGTTCATGAGCCCCAAGGAGTCCAGTAAGGCCAATATGAAGGATTAATCAGCTAACCTTCATCTCCAAGGCATATGGTACCCAAGGTCCCTGAGTAGACTGAGGATGCTCCAAGAAACTATTAGGTATTGCCCCCTAGTAAAGACTAGGATCAAGAGTTGGATTCACTTAGTAGTGAAGTAGGCTCCTATTCCACAATTGGAAGCGTGCGCTGATTTACTGACACAGTAGGGCAAGATCCTCTTCTTCTCAAAGAGGTTTCTTATGTTAAAGTGTTCTTGTGTTGAGGAGAACCAGCCCAGATGAACAGGGGACTGAGGATAGGACAAAACGAAAACATTCTTTGGTGAGGTAAAGTTTTCAGTTTTTCCTGGACTAATGAACACTTCTTGCCTCAAATCTCTGGTCTAAGGTGCAACAGAGTTCAATGTGCTCTGTGTGAGAAACAATAACCATCAGTTGAGCAAATCTGATTTGACAAAGTTTGGATTCAGACATTTTTCCTGAAGAAAGTTGCTTACTCCAATGAAATTATTTAGGAGGAGTAAAAATAGGTGTGTGATTCCCTCATCCCATAATAATTCTCAACAGCGCAGGAGTAGTAGTGGTACAGATTCACTAATTTTAAGAGGCCCTGAAGGGTTTGGTCATGAGCAGGGCTCAAATACAATCTACTTGCCTGTGGCACTATACTCCTACCATATTGGCAAATGTGATTGTACACTACTTGAGATTCCAAGACCAGAAGGAACCATGTGGTCATTAGTATAGCACATGCCACAGCACAGCCCCAACTCTCCTACAACACTACTTTAGGAAAAAATAATCTAGTCTTGATTTAAAAAGTTGTCAGTGTGAATCCTCAACAACCTTTGAAGTTGTTCCAACTGTTACCAATTGTTAAAAAATTCTTTATTTCCAGCCCAAATTTGTCTAGCTTCAACTTCTAGCTACTGGATTGTGTTAACCCTCCTTTTCCTAAGCATAAGACTCAGTTATTCCTAGTGCCAAATATACAGAGGTAAAACTTATTTTGACTTACAGTTCTCTAAGGGTGCAGGGTTTGTGTGTTAAATGGCCAGCCTTTTCAATATCCCCATTTAACAGGGAACATTTTGGCCTCAATGACATTAGTTACTTAGATCCAACTGACATGTTTAAGGGTTGTTAGAGTATACCTCAGTTACAAGGAAATCCACCCAGAATTTTAGATTCAAGTACTATCCTTTAGGATGTGGAAAATGGTCATATTTGCTATGGAGTAGAGAGAAAAAAACCCATGGAATCTCAGGTTACCACTGGCATGTCTTTTCAGAGTACAAAGATACTTTAAGGATGCTAAGGATACAGGACACCAGAGAAAATAGTTGGATTATCAGAGAGCTCTAGTGATAATCTCAAATTGTGAATTCCAAGATGTGTAGTTTAGAAGGTCTTTCTTCCTCAGCTTTCATGTACAATTCCAAAAACATTAGGCATTACTCAGTACTCCATTACTAGACTACTGATTAGAGCAAATTGAGCAAAACAGCGTCATTTTTAGGGCTCTCATTGCAAGCTCCTAATGAGTACATTTCCAGCCACCATTTACAACTCTATACACTATGCAGACATGTATTTATGCATGCAATCTAGTCTCTGAAACCTGAACTCACCTGACAACCAAGAGCTGCTCTTAGGAAGGTCAACACAGTTGCAGACACAGGAGCTGCTCCAGTGATCATTAGTCTTACTCTTCCTCCCAGACTTGCCTAAAGAGACAGACAAGGTATGTTGGGCAGTAATAGCATTTTAGTGAGAGATTATCAGAAGTCCTCTAGAAAGACTTAAGAGAAACCAGTGCTGGGCACTCATGTATAGTTTGAAAAAAAGACATCCTCTTCAGAAGGAAGAGCTAACTTTTGACATGCTTCATCCTCATACACTAAACTCAATTTGCAGTCATTACCCACAAAGTCCATACTAAGACTCAACTAAGTCTGGAGGTGTGCCTAACAGTGAATACAAGCAGAGAGAGGGTAAGTTTAGAAGATAGGATACACAAAGAACAAGTTAAAAATCACTTAGGAAAGTTAGATGTCAGCAAGTCACCAGGTCCTGATGAAATGCATCCCAGGATACTCAAGGAGCTGATAGAGGAGGTATCTGAGCCTTTAGCTATGATCTTTGAAAAATCATGGAAGACAGGGGAGATTCCAGAAGACTGGAAAAGGGCAAATATTGTGCCCATCTATAAAAAGGGGAAGAACAACCACCCAGGAAACTACAGACCGGTCAGTTTAACGTCTGTCCCAGGGAAGATAATGGAGCAGGTAATTAAGGAAATCATATGCAAACACTTGGAAAGTAATAAAGTGATAGGGAATAGCCAGCATCGGTTTGTGAAGAACAAGTCATGCCCAACTAATCTGATAGCTTTCTTTGATAGGATAACGAGCCTTGTGGATAAGGGAGAAGCGGTGGATGTCATATACCTAGACTTTAGTAAGGCATTTGATACAGTCTCGCATGATATTCTTATTGATAAACTAGGCAAATATAACTTAGATATGCACCCACCTTATTGTGGCCCTAATTGGCTGGATAACCGTAGTCAGAGAGTTGTTGTTAACGGTTCTAAATCCTGCTGGAAAGGGATAACAAGTGGAGTTCCTCAAGGGTCTGTTTTGGGACCCGTACTGTTCAATATCTTCATCAATGATGTAGATATTGGGATAGAGAGTACTCTTATTAAGTTTGCAGATGATACCAAACTGGGTGGGGTTGCAACTTCTTTGGAGGATAGGGACATAATTCAAAATGACCTTAGCAAGTTAGAGAAATGGTCAGAGGTAAACAGGATGAGGTTTAATAAGGAGAAATGCAGAGTGCTCCACTTAGGAAGGAACAATCAGTTCCATACATACAAGATGGGAAGCGACTGTCTAGGAAGGAGCATGGCGGAAAGGGATCTAGGGGTCATAGTGGACCACAAGTTGAATATGAGTCAACAGTGTGATGCTGTTGCCAAAAAAGCAAATATGATTCTAGGTTGTATTAACAGGTGTGTTGTAAGCAAAACTCGTGAAGTCATTCTGCCGCTCTATTCTGCACTAGTTAGGCCTCAGCTGGAGTACTGTGTCCAGTTCTGGGCGCCACATTTCAAGAAAGATGTGGAGAAATTGGAAAGGGTACAGAGAAGAGTGACAAGAATGATTAAAGGTTTAGAGAACATGACCTATGAAGCCAGGCTTCGTGAACTGGGCTTGTTTAGTTTGGAAAAACGAAGATTAAGGGGGGACATGATAGTGGTTTTCAAATATCTAAAAGGGTGTCACAAGGAGGAAGGAGAAAATTTGTTTCTCTTGGTTTCTGAGGACAGGACAAGGAGTAATGGGCTTAAAGTGCAGCAGGGGAGGTTTAGATTGGACATTAGGAAAAAATTCCTAACTGTCAGGGTGGTCAAATATTGGAATAAATTGCCAAGGGAGGTGGTGGAATCTCCCTCTCTGGAGATATTTAAGAACAGGTTAGATAGACATCTGTCAGGGATGGTGTAGACAGAGCTTGGTCCTGCCTTGAGGGCAGGGGGCTGGACTCGATGACCTCTCAAGGTCCCTTCCAGTCCTATGATTCTATAATAGAATCCTAGAACTGAAAGGGACCTCAAGGGATCAAATCCAGCCACTGTCCTCACAGCAGGAACAAACACCATCTAGATTATCCCAGATGGAGGTCCATCCAACCTGCTCTTAAGTATATCCACTGATGGAGACTCCACAAACTCTAGGCAATTTATTCCAGTGTTTAATCATCCTGACAGGAAGTTTTTTCCAATGTCCAACCTAAACCTCCCTTGCTGCAATTTAAGCCTATTGCTTCTGTCCGATCAGAGACCAAAGAGAATAATTTGTCTCCCTCATCCTTGTAACACTTTTAGATACTTGAAACTGCTATCATGTCCTCTTTCAGTCTTCACTTTTCTAAACTAAACAAGCCCAATTCTTTCAGTCTTTCATAGGTCATGTTTTCTAGACCTTTAATTATTTTTGTTGCTCTTTCTGGACCCTCCCCAATTTTGCCACATTTTTCTTGAAGTATGACACCCAGAACTGGACAATACTCCAATTGAGTCCTAATCAGTGCAGAGTAAAGCCAAAGAATTACTTTTCATGTTTTGCTCAAAACACTCCTGTTAATGTATCCCAGAATCACGTTTGTTTCTGCAACAGTGTCACACTGACTCTTTAGCTTGTGGTCCACTATGACCGTTAGATCCCTTTCTGCAATATTCCTTCCTAGACAGTCACTTCTCATTCTGTAAGTGTGAAAGCTATAAGCATACCGAGCCCTAAGCCATGCCCCTTCCATGGAACTTGGTTTTGCAGTAGAGAGGGTGTCAAACTATTCTCGTTAGCCAGATAACATCAATGTTACAGTACAGAAAGGAGCAGTCAGTGGTACAGGTAATCTAAGGTTAAAAAGTGAACCTTCAATACCCCAAGCACCAAGCAAACTGCTTCCTTGGATTTTCACAAAGCCATGAGTTTTGACTTGCCAAGTCATCCTTGATCCACACTAACAGGACTCCAGCTAAATCCCTCACATCGTTTTGAGTGATTATAGTCTGACACCTACAGCTCAGTTACTAGAAAGTGCTTTGAATAGAGTGACATCAAGGTCACTAGATGCATCAGATATTTTAAGGTGTTAAGCACCCAGGTAGGAAGTTTCCAGGCTTTCCAAAGTGCATGGAACAGATTTAGAGAAAGGATAGTCTAGTGAGATTATTGAAAATTTAAGGCCTTTGTATAGTACATAGCTATTGACATCCAGTATAGAGAAGAGAAAGTTTACGCAGATATTCTGTGCTATAAATTTGCCTGTCTGAAGCAGGATTTTTATTTTTTATATTAGGACTAGTAAGGAGTAATCCGCCAAATATTTATAACGAGATTTTTTTTAAATATATGAGCAGAGACAGTGTGAAGCATACCTGTATTTTGTGGAAGATCAGTTTATCCCACAGACTATTCTTTCTAATTATGCCACTTTTAAGCTCTGCTTCTTTCCTCTTGGAAGCAAAGTCCAGGATCCATCTTTTCAGTGAAGTATTGGCTTGTCCAAAGATCTAATATGAAGGAGTTAAATCATGTAATTAGAAAGTTTATAGGACAGCATTCATTCTTACGGCAAAGCCTATAGAAAGTCATTCTCGCCTCGCCCCCCCCTCCCCCCTCCCCCCACAAGAGTTAAATTTCTCTCAGGAGCCTTTACAGAAGGGGTGGCAATAACTTTTGATTGGGGGGGGGGAGGGGAGCACTCCAAGAATTTGGAAAATAGTCCAGGGCAGCACTCTTCCATATTAATGGAGGACGTGCAGGTTCTGGGTTGGAAGTTGGGTGCAAGAAGCAGTGTGGGGTCTGGGAGAGACTTTGGGTGAAGGAGGAGGTTGCAATCTGGAGCAGGGGACTGAGGTGCAGGGTCTAGAAGAAGGTCTGGGGTGCCAGAGACAGGCTCTGGCTAGGAGGTTTACCTGAGTGACTCCCAGCCAGCAGCCCAGCATGTTTGTCAAGCAGGCTCCCTGCCTGTCTAGCCATGGCAGGGACCACATGGCTCTCAATAGCTATGAGCCTGAGGGGGAAGAGATTCTGCATGCTCCAAAACAAGCAGCTCCCATTGGCTGGAAACAAAAGCCTCCTCCCAGTCAACAGTGTGATGCTGTTGCCAAAAAAGCAAATATGATTCTAGGTTGTATTAACAGGTGTGTTGTAAGCAAAACTCGTGAAGTCATTCTGCCGCTCTATTCTGCACTAGTTAGGCCTCAGCTGGAGTACTGTGTCCAGTTCTGGGCGCCACATTTCAAGAAAGATGTGGAGAAATTGGAAAGGGTACAGAGAAGAGTGACAAGAATGATTAAAGGTTTAGAGAACATGACCTATGAAGCCAGGCTTCGTGAACTGGGCTTGTTTAGTTTGGAAAAACGAAGATTAAGGGGGGACATGATAGTGGTTTTCAAATATCTAAAAGGGTGTCACAAGGAGGAAGGAGAAAATTTGTTTCTCTTGGTTTCTGAGGACAGGACAAGGAGTAATGGGCTTAAAGTGCAGCAGGGGAGGTTTAGATTGGACATTAGGAAAAAATTCCTAACTGTCAGGGTGGTCAAATATTGGAATAAATTGCCAAGGGAGGTGGTGGAATCTCCCTCTCTGGAGATATTTAAGAACAGGTTAGATAGACATCTGTCAGGGATGGTGTAGACAGAGCTTGGTCCTGCCTTGAGGGCAGGGGGCTGGACTCGATGACCTCTCAAGGTCCCTTCCAGTCCTATGATTCTATAATAGAATCCTAGAACTGAAAGGGACCTCAAGGGATCAAATCCAGCCACTGTCCTCACAGCAGGAACAAACACCATCTAGATTATCCCAGATGGAGGTCCATCCAACCTGCTCTTAAGTATATCCACTGATGGAGACTCCACAAACTCTAGGCAATTTATTCCAGTGTTTAATCATCCTGACAGGAAGTTTTTTCCAATGTCCAACCTAAACCTCCCTTGCTGCAATTTAAGCCTATTGCTTCTGTCCGATCAGAGACCAAAGAGAATAATTTGTCTCCCTCATCCTTGTAACACTTTTAGATACTTGAAACTGCTATCATGTCCTCTTTCAGTCTTCACTTTTCTAAACTAAACAAGCCCAATTCTTTCAGTCTTTCATAGGTCATGTTTTCTAGACCTTTAATTATTTTTGTTGCTCTTTCTGGACCCTCCCCAATTTTGCCACATTTTTCTTGAAGTATGACACCCAGAACTGGACAATACTCCAATTGAGTCCTAATCAGTGCAGAGTAAAGCCAAAGAATTACTTTTCATGTTTTGCTCAAAACACTCCTGTTAATGTATCCCAGAATCACGTTTGTTTCTGCAACAGTGTCACACTGACTCTTTAGCTTGTGGTCCACTATGACCGTTAGATCCCTTTCTGCAATATTCCTTCCTAGACAGTCACTTCTCATTCTGTAAGTGTGAAAGCTATAAGCATACCGAGCCCTAAGCCATGCCCCTTCCATGGAACTTGGTTTTGCAGTAGAGAGGGTGTCAAACTATTCTCGTTAGCCAGATAACATCAATGTTACAGTACAGAAAGGAGCAGTCAGTGGTACAGGTAATCTAAGGTTAAAAAGTGAACCTTCAATACCCCAAGCACCAAGCAAACTGCTTCCTTGGATTTTCACAAAGCCATGAGTTTTGACTTGCCAAGTCATCCTTGATCCACACTAACAGGACTCCAGCTAAATCCCTCACATCGTTTTGAGTGATTATAGTCTGACACCTACAGCTCAGTTACTAGAAAGTGCTTTGAATAGAGTGACATCAAGGTCACTAGATGCATCAGATATTTTAAGGTGTTAAGCACCCAGGTAGGAAGTTTCCAGGCTTTCCAAAGTGCATGGAACAGATTTAGAGAAAGGATAGTCTAGTGAGATTATTGAAAATTTAAGGCCTTTGTATAGTACATAGCTATTGACATCCAGTATAGAGAAGAGAAAGTTTACGCAGATATTCTGTGCTATAAATTTGCCTGTCTGAAGCAGGATTTTTATTTTTTATATTAGGACTAGTAAGGAGTAATCCGCCAAATATTTATAACGAGATTTTTTTTAAATATATGAGCAGAGACAGTGTGAAGCATACCTGTATTTTGTGGAAGATCAGTTTATCCCACAGACTATTCTTTCTAATTATGCCACTTTTAAGCTCTGCTTCTTTCCTCTTGGAAGCAAAGTCCAGGATCCATCTTTTCAGTGAAGTATTGGCTTGTCCAAAGATCTAATATGAAGGAGTTAAATCATGTAATTAGAAAGTTTATAGGACAGCATTCATTCTTACGGCAAAGCCTATAGAAAGTCATTCTCGCCTCGCCCCCCCCTCCCCCCTCCCCCCACAAGAGTTAAATTTCTCTCAGGAGCCTTTACAGAAGGGGTGGCAATAACTTTTGATTGGGGGGGGGGAGGGGAGCACTCCAAGAATTTGGAAAATAGTCCAGGGCAGCACTCTTCCATATTAATGGAGGACGTGCAGGTTCTGGGTTGGAAGTTGGGTGCAAGAAGCAGTGTGGGGTCTGGGAGAGACTTTGGGTGAAGGAGGAGGTTGCAATCTGGAGCAGGGGACTGAGGTGCAGGGTCTAGAAGAAGGTCTGGGGTGCCAGAGACAGGCTCTGGCTAGGAGGTTTACCTGAGTGACTCCCAGCCAGCAGCCCAGCATGTTTGTCAAGCAGGCTCCCTGCCTGTCTAGCCATGGCAGGGACCACATGGCTCTCAATAGCTATGAGCCTGAGGGGGAAGAGATTCTGCATGCTCCAAAACAAGCAGCTCCCATTGGCTGGAAACAAAAGCCTCCTCCCAGGCTTGTAGCTGTTCAAAGACAAACAGCACCCAACAGCCTTCTCTGAGCAGCATGCTGGGGAGGAGGGGGCTGGGGGGTTAGAAGACAGGGAGATGGGTTGCAGGGAGCCTCACTGACACTCCCTGCTGTGTCTGTGGGCTGAATCCAGCCCATGGGACATACTTTGCCCAGCCCTGCTTTTCAGAGAAGTAGCTTATCCCAGATGAGAAGCTTAAAATACAGAAGCTCAGAGCCTGTCTACAGGACTATTTAAGGTCATAGTAAGCTCAGGTTTAAGTCTACCTTGCACTAGGCTAATTTGTGCTAAGTTTTCACATGGACTCTTGACAAACTGACAGTTCTTTAGTGTTGATCTACCCTGCTTTGAAACAATGGTGAATCAGAATACATTGAAGAGCTGCTGGTTCATGCTATCATCAGCCACATTAACATTTTGCACACATCAGGCTAAGATGGAAGAGATTTACTCCTGACCCTGCCATGACTTCAGTGTTTGTGAAGCTAAGCCTCAAGTGACTTGAGGCCACACAGATTGTACACCTCTGCTAGTGACTAGAACCCAGGTCGGACTCAGTTCAGTCTCCACCAGAACATTCTGCCTCTAAGGAGATCTAGCAAGCAAAGTGTTAACTATACAGGTTCAATCCTTAGACCAGGGTGGGGAGCCTCAGGCCTGGGGGCCGGCTT